CGAAAATTATTTTTTTAAATTTTTAAATTGCACCCAATCTGAGAAAAATGCATTTAAAAATTTCAAACCATATAGGTACCATTTCTTATAAAAACTTGGAAAAATAAAAAACCTATCAATTTTTTTTACCAAGAAAAGTTTCGAAAAAAAATTTTTGATTACTAGATTTTGTTTTTGTTTTTAATAATACAAAAATCTAATTTTTACTTTTCAAAAATTTAAAATTTTTTTAAATAAATTTTTGTTTTTCAAATTAAAAGTTTGTAAAAAATTTTGTTTCAATTTTTTCATTATTTGTTACATTTCAATAAGAATATTTAATTCAACGTGATGTTTATCCAAAACAACACTCTCGTCATTCAAAATTAATGATAGTTGATAATTACAGCGCTTAAAATAAGTACAAATCAAAAATAGTGAAAAATAGGGGCTTTAAAATCTTTACATAAAAATGGTTTTTGTGCTAAATTTTCTTTCCAAAAAAATTTTTTTAATGTTTGAGGACTTAAATTAAAGGTTACGCAGCTGGGCAAAACTGTATAAAAAAAGAAATTCAAGGTTTGAAAAAATTTTTTACGAAATTATCTAGCTTGAAAAAATATGAAAATATTAAGGGAGAACTTGGGTAAGTAAAAATTTTGTGAAAATTCGTTAAAATCCCTGAAACTCGGAAACCCTTGAGATTTAGCACCCAGTTCGGAACAAAAGTTTTACCCATTTTCAATCTTCTAACCAATGGTATATGTTGTTGCAAAACTTTCTGAATCACCCTGTATATACAAAAATTTAACGAAAAAAACATGTAGGTACTCTTATTTATATTACATAAATGTTAGAACTTTTTTAATTAATTTAAAAAAAATTATAAATAACTTTATAAATTTCACTTATCACATTTAACACGTTTTACTGGCAAAACTATGAGAGATAAATGAGGGGCTCAGAAGCAGAGTGGCGTAAGCCACAATATCGGTTATGCCACTTTGCTTTTGAAAAATCAAAAAATTTTACAAAATCAGAAAATTTTTACAAAAGAAAAAGTACTTTTGTGAAAAATAAATAGGAAAAAAGCTATTGCGAAACTGGAAACTAATATTACTGATTTTAGAAGATGTACATAACCGATTGCAGCAAAAAAAATTTTTTTTTTATATGTGGCTTACGCCACTCTGCTTCTGAGCCCCTTATGTTATATGGATTAACTTTTAGTTCTCATCGTAGCGCATCGAAAAAAAAAACAAAATAATAACAACAAAATTTTTCGAGAAATTTAATTTTTTAAAAAATAATTAAAAAAAAAACAAAAATTGTTACTTTGACGAACTTAATCGCGAAAACTGTGGTTTAGATCAAATTAATTATAAGACCAATAAGTTTTCTTCTGCACATAAATTGTTGCTTATCAAATTTCATTAATAATCAATTTCCATGCATCTGTAAAATAAAAATATTTACATTAGAGGACATATTACTTATGTAATATTTGTTCCTGCAACTCTACTATTTATAAAAACGCGTAAGATCTATTAAAGTTTTAAAATTTAAAAACCTTTAAATTATTATTTTATTTATAAACTCTCATACGTACTTCTATAACCTTTTTGTACCATTTATGGTAATTTTTTTTATTGCGCAAAAAAAAATTAATTTTCCATGATGTTAAAAATTATATTCTTCTTATAAGTATACAAATTTTAATATTTTCATACCTCTGACGGTTAAAATTAATTTTTTTTCTATATTCCGTCTTTTCCAACATTTTAAATGATTATTTTTTCTTCTTATAACTCCCAAAGGTTAACTTTTAATATGTTCATAGGTTTTCCTTTTCGTTCTTCTTTATCATAAATCTAGAGTTTCCTCTATCACAAACGCATATTTTCATAACCCCTTTGAAATCTGTTCTTTAATAAAAAAAAAGAAACTGATTGCAATTATTTTTTTTTGTACATACGTGTACATATAATAATATTTTAACATTTAAAAAAAATTATTAAAAAATTGGAAAGTTGAATGTACAGATTGTATTGAAAATATAAACATAAAGAATTTAATTCTAACTGGAAATTTATAATGTTTAGAAAAAGTTCAGTTATAACTGTAATATATTATGTCAAATATTTAACAAATTTTCTGAAATAAATCATTGTCAAATGATTTATTTAATTTAAATGTACTTGAAACAGCAACTGGGCTGACTGCGTTAACTGCAAAATTTAATATTTGAACATTTCTTAAAAATTGTTCAAGCCAATTTTCAATATACTGAAGTTACACACAAGTTTATGTAGTAGCAGAGTTTCTTTGGATTATAAATATTTTTATATGTTACAGCATCTCATAACATATACATACATATGTCATTATACCAGTACCATTCACTAATAACAGAATATTTGAAACCATTAGGATTAATACCTTGATTTTTTCATAATTCCTGCAAAATCTCCTAAGCAACAAATTATTTTTTTCGATTTGCGTACCACAGATTTCCAATTAATTACCCTTGTATCTACCCTTGTATTATTGGAACGATGTTACAATATTTTTACCACACTTTGCAATTTATTATTCATAACTGCAAATCTATTTTCATATAAATAATATATAAAAATATCAGAAATCATTAAAATTATGAATAAATGTACGAAAAATTGTTGATCATTTTAACCCACATAAAGATAGAAAATTTAATAAAAATATTTTTTGCTCATACTTATAGACATGAATGCATATATTATATTACAGTGTACCTATACTGTTTGTTGCTATTCGGATAAAAAGCAAAATTTCGAAAAGATTTTGTAACATAAATTGCCGTAATTTTACATTTATAAATCATAACATTGTATACTATGCCATGGTTAAAAAATTTAAAAAATAGATCTTCTTTAGAAATCTATAAATCTAGAAGAAAATTATTAACTATCTGCCTGTCTATAAGGGTTATAGCCCTTCAAACTCTTAAAAATGTCACTTTTTGACTATATTTGACCAGCTTGTATTATAACAATGATAAAATGGGAGTTGATATTAACACTTATCTAAAACCTTTTTTTTCAAATTTTAACAGTTCTTCGAAACTAATAAATATCCACCTTATTTCATTAGAAGAAAATTTTCTTCCACATTCCATTCCTCTCAAACTGCCACTTGAAATTTGCCAGTTTGAATTTGGAAACTGCCAGCTTTTCTAAATTACTATAAAATCAAAAAGCTAATGATAAATCCGATTCAACGTTAACTCTTAACAAATTTTTTTTTCATCCTAAAGTAGACAATAAATTGATATATTTTTGTTGTATATGATTGAAAATGTAGTAAATTCTTTTTAAAAACAATAATCTCACTTGTTCAACGGAATAGTACTCTTTCTCAAATTATGGGTTTTCTCCAATAGAAGTGTGCCAAAACTAATACACCAAATTTTACATTACATACTTTATTTCATCTTTTTATCATTTCCTCAGGCAATAAGAAAAATTTCATTCAGACTGGACTGTCGAATTTTTTTCAAATTTTATTTTTTATATCTTTTTTTGCATAATTCAGAAATAATTATGTTATGTATGTTTGTGTGTATGAAATTTTTATGAAGCTCAAAGAAAAAATATTTTGTATACAAAGTATAAAAGTAATTGAAAATAAAGATATTTACATAAATATTTAAAAAAAAATATGATCCATATATTAATTTTTTTTCATAAAAATAGCAAAAATATTTTTCAAGCATTTTGTTAGTACAAAAATCTTTATTTTATGATATGCATTTTTGTAACTTCCATAATTAAGTTAATAAATGAAAACCGAATTCACCTTGGATAACCATACAATTTTGTTGATATGAGTAACACATTTATCGTTAAGGAATTTAAAATATTTTAAAATATACTTTATTTTCAAAATAATCTCATACCGATATTCTTTCTATATTATGCCTTATCGCACAAGCCTAAGAGAAATGGCAGATATTCGACTTGTTGCCCTTGTAGTGTTCAAATTATTAAGGGTCAAAATTATTAATGAAGCACCAAATGATATAATGGTGCATACAATTTTATTTAATATTTCATTTCAAAATTTTGAAGTTTATTTCGCAACTCATTGTGCTGCATCATCAGGTTCCTTGGGAAAACAGGGATTGTGTAAAACTTGTGTCTTAAGGGAGTAATTAGATATTGTAGATCCTCTTAACTAGTAACGTACAATCTGCTGCAAATTTTAATTTCCATCAATAAAATGTTTGTTTTTTATTCTCTGATAAAATTCTTTAATTTATAATAAATAAATAAATCTATTGGTGATTTGATCGATACAATAATTAACTACATTATTTAATATTTGGTATTATGAAATAACCTTATTTAATTAAAAATTTAAGGAAAAAATGAGAGTAAACTTTTAAATGCACACACATATATGTGAATTATTATATTTATGAACTTATCTTAATATATAAAAGTTAATTAATTTTTTTTATTAATAAGAAATTTTGTATTTAAATTTTTATTTTTTTTAAACTTAAGATATATTGTATAAAACTTAATAAGTACATAAATAATAAAATATGTTATTTACCTCATAAAATTACATGTTAAATTCTTAAAAAAAAAGTACAAATAAATTCTTAACATTTTAAACATCTTTGAAGTTATAAATTGTTTTTGAATCACTAAATTAAAATGTTAAAAAACTATATAATAAAATTTGAATACATTCTAATATGTTTACAAAATGTTAGGAATCTTTTTCATTTCTAAATAAATTAATTTCTATTTGAAATTTTTCCCAAAAAAATTCTTTATTTAAGATGAATTAAACGTTTATTTCAAAATTTCTGTAATTTTAATAGTTTACAGAATATTTGATATTTAGCCATGCATACAACATCTGATTTATTTATTAATAAATTAAACATTAACTTACTTTGGTTTTTAATAAAGTTTGTTAACACTAATATTAACGTTATGTAAAAATTAAATTACTTCACTTCTGTATTACTTCAATTTTGCTTTTATAAAAATAATATTTTTTCAGTAATTGCACTATACGAGTAGAAATATAGAATAAAATACTTTTCAAAATTATTTTAATTGAAAAATATCATAAATATAACAAAAATTACTTTATAAAACTAAAATAATTTATTTATCTACATGTACATAAAATATTCAAATTTATTATTTTAAATTATGTATGTATGTATTATTTTCATATATATAGCATATAGGTACATTCTATTCCAAAATGGCTAATATTGTGTCTAAATACACCATTAGTTTATGAAATTCAGATTACATGTTGAGAGTGCTAAATAGCAAGGACAACACTACACTGAATAATTAAATTTAATTCAATTAAAAATTAGTTACGGCGATAATAAATAACATTAAATGAATAAATTGATGCATTTTTGAACTGTAATGATAGAATATTATTCTTATTAATATTCTAATAACTAGGGAAACTCAATCAATTTAAATGAATTTTTTTCTAATTTTAGTTCAGTTATTTTAGCTCTTATTTTACAATTTTGAGTTTACAGATAAACAAATAGAGTTGCAAGTTTTATGATATCTTAAATTTTTCAAATTCGATTATGTTACGATTGTTTACATTCTTAATTTACAATTTATTTTATTTACTCCCATTCAAATTGACTATTAGCATGTACTATACATACATTGTTACATTCTAAAATTTCCAAAATACTATTCTTTTTTATTTAACTTAAAATTATATAAATGTATGGAATTTATGTTTTCAATTTGAATATAATATTTAAACTTTTTGCCAAGTTTTTATTATTAAAGATATAGACGAACAATAATTTTTTATTGATTACTTTAAACCTTTTTATTATTTATATAAATTTTTTGTTTATATTTTAATTTATACATAATATGAATATTAAGAATGAATATTTTTATGTATTGCTTCATTTGTGTTAAACACAATCCTTATGTACAAAATTTTAATGATATGAGTGAACTTAAGTAAATAAATGTTGAAATGATGTTCGCATCTATTTATGTACTTAATTAACTTTCACATTTCCTTTATTTCTTTTTTTTGTTTTTAAAACAATATTACAATTATTATTACTATTGCTATTATTGTTATTAGTATTACTATTACTATTTTAATTATTATTATTAAGTACAATTGTTATTGTTATTATTATGATTATAGTGAGTAAGATTATTTTCTTGTATCCGCTCTTTAAATTTTGTATTTTTTGCTTTTTAGCACATTTCCAAAAAATTTGTGCTTGTTACTTTGAATATTTTTTATTACTACCAAATATCTTTTTTAAATATGTACACGCATATGTGTAATATATTATATAATTTCTGTTTTATCCTGATTTTCTTTATATTATAATTCTAATAAAAATTTTAATCATAAAAAATCTATGATTCTGGATATCTGCAATACGATTTGCTTTCAATCAACTCATGTGGTATCCAATTTTCATATAGCGGTAAACGATTTTTTAATGTTTCAATTTCACGTAATATTCTAACAATATTACCACCGACTAATTTTTTAATTGCTGCATTACCCCATACACGATCACGTGCTAATTCAGCTAAAAGATAAGTATAACTATTTGGTGCTCCACTTAAACCAATGTGATCAACTCCAGCAATTTTTCGCACATAATTAATTGCATAAATTGCCTCACGTACTGTTAACTGCCGTTCTCCACATTTTTCCATATTTAACATTATAACACCACCATTGTCTGAGAGTAATCTAAATAAATATACGAACATAAGAAATAATAAATAATCATATGAAAATTTTGTTTTTCGTTAAGTAAAAATTCTTTCCATAAGAGAATTTACACATGTATGTATGTAAGTTTATAAGCATGTATGCTAATTACAAAGAAATAAAAATTTAATTTTTTTAATGCATACGAAAATATGTATATGTACGTATGTAAGAACAAAAATTTAATAATTTTAAAATTTAGTTTTTTTCTTTTCATGAAGTCATGTATAACAGAAATTTTTCATTTACATACATACATATGTACATACAAAATGTAATTTAATTTGAAAATATCCATGAGGAAGTTGTTTAATTTAAAATAAACAAGTTAAGAGAAATGAGCGAATTGCGAAAATATTTAAAAAGTGTCGTGAGACACATTAACTATGAAATGAAATCTTTAAACAATGTACGCTTACAATTTTTTAAATGCAGACATGTACAAATCAAAAATTCTTACCATTTTAAATTTGAAAATTTAATAATATAATTTCTATGGTACAGTAAAAATTTTAAAAAAATGTGATTATCTTCTTATTTTAAGAATTTTAAAAAGAACTAGAATAGGTACATAATATTGCATAAAAAGTTTATCATAGGATCATAATCCTTTAGTAAGAGCACTGAAATCGTGTTTGGAATAACTATCACATAAAAATTAATAAAAGTGATACATTTGAAATATGTCTGTAGAAAAGTTGTATCGTACATATAACTACAAACTTTAAAAATTTTCTGTTAATATAATAAATTTATTATAACTAGTTTAAAACGCATTAATATAACAAAAAGTTAACTTTATTTTAACTAAACCTACAATTATTCGTATTTGGAAATACACGCTTGCATATGTTATTTTAAAAACAACCCAATAGGTTAATTAATCATTATAATTATAATCTATGAATTTTAAGTAAGTAAAAATAATATAATGCAATTGTTTAAATTCTACTTAATTAATACTTTTAATGGTTGCAATAAAAATAACAACGTATTACTCATAATAAAAATAATTACGTATTTTGGACACTTACCCCAAAATATGATCAGGAATTGATGCTAAATTAGAACTATTACATAGTGACAATGGTGCCGCATTTGATAGAAGAACGGGTGCTTTAGCTGTTTTTATTGCAATTTCCATAGCTTGCTCCGATAACTGAGATATTTCAACAAGCATTCCCAGACGATTCATTTCAAAGAGTATACTCTGTTATCAAAAAAAAAAAAAATTATAAAAATTAATCTCATTAATTTTTAAATCATAAACGAAAAAACAGTTCAAAATTTTTTTGAATATTTAATTCTAATAATCTGTTAACGCAGGATTTTCATTTTTATTTTAAGGAACAATTTTTTATGTTTCAATTAAATTGATTTTGCAATTAACTCGGATAAAAGAACTAAAGACGACGATTTTGAAATTCAAAATAGGATAATACAGACTCTATATACATAAGTATGTGTATTCAATTCAATTATGTATGTATCTTGAACTAAAATTTCAATGCCGCATAATTTTTCCCACATGATATTATTACCAGGATTTAATTTCTGTAATCCTATTAAGTAAATAATAACCAAATTTTGCTGTTAATCAATAACTTCATAATAATTTATATTATCATTTTAAAGTTATTAAATAAAAAGAACCTAAATAAAACCATTTTCTGAAACATATAAAAAAAATTTAACAAAAAAACCAACGAATTAAAAGGATATTTATGTAAATCTTAATTTATGCATATCAGCTCATCTCCAAAATTATACTCTTCTATTATATTTTTTTTTTGCTTTAAATTTATATTCTTCTAAAATTTGCTTTTTATTATTTCTGGACTTCCAGACAAAAAAAATTTGCATACAAATTGCAATTGTTGTAAAATGAAAATTATGAAAGTAAATTAAATTTTATTTTACAAGTAATATTTGTATGTGGACAAACCTCATATAAGTACAGTTGAACACGGATATAATACATGTATGCACACTGAAAACGAAACACTTATGTGCAATTATAAAAAAACGTACATATATTTACAAAGAAATAAAAATTATGCAAACTTGCTTTTTTTAATTAAACCAAATTAGCTTTTTGCTTTGAATCGCCAAATCTGCAGAACTAACTGCAACTTGCAAAATGCTGCTTTGGTAAATATAACTTCAGGGAAACCTCACATTATCTTGTACATACAATATTATTCATATAACACACTTATTTAAGTAATTTCTATAAAAAGAAAATATTCTACATAATGGTCATAAAAGTTCTCATAAAACTTGGCTTTTAAATTTTCTAATTGTAACTCAGACGAAAAATAATTTTTATATTTAATTTTATGCAAATATTTTAACAAAATAGATCATTGTAATGAATATCATATTTTTAGGGTTTTCTGTCAGAACATGATATCTATATTTTTGCTACATTATTATTAATAACTGGTGAAAATTTAGTGAAGATGGTTTAAAAAGTTAGCATTTTAAAATGTTGCTACTAAATACTACATAGTATTAAAATTTTAACATACTTTTTAAAATTTTAACATACATAATTTTAACATACTTTAGGTATGTATATCAAATAGGATTTACAGTTTTTTCAATTGCAATAAGTATCAATCAGAGTTGAATAAGTTCACTGGTCTAGTTTTAAATGTTTTTAAACGTTTCACTTATATGAAAATAACAAACATGAAAATTTAGAAAGAAAATGTAGAAATGAACATGTGCAGATGTTTTATATATTTCAAAGCCTTCTTAGAAAATTTTACGATCTCGAGAAATGAATAACTGTTGATATCTAATTTTGTCAAAAAAATTTTTTGAACAATTGATTAGTTATAATGTTCTTCAATGACCTTTTTTTGAAACTACTGAAAAAATTATTTTTTTTTTCTTCTATTAGAAAGTGCTTAAAATTTTGCAGCATTCAGAACTTTTTTTTTTCCAAAAATGTAGATATCATGTTCTGATAGAAAACCCTAGATTTTTCAGAAGTAGTTTGCTACTCTATAGTACCGAAAAAAATTTAATTAAATACACTATCCTAATGCAATGTCCACTATCCTATAAATAAACGTTGAAGCAATGAAAAATTTCAACTAAGACTTCCAGGTTCTCAATATTTAATTCAATTAAGAATAAAATTTCCTTTAAGAAGAACTGGGAAACCTAAGTATAGTAAGAACAAACCTTCAATAGGAAAAAAGTGTTTAATGATATAAGTCAACTCATTCGAAACTTTACATAAATTATACATATATAAAATTATACTTTCAAATTAGTTACCTTCCCAAATTCAGTTAGGGTGTTAGTTGAATTTTCTTCAATAATTCTATCGTTTCGAATTGATGCTCCAGCCCAAGGCGTAGTACAACCTAAACTCGTTATTGATACAAATCTGGCGCTTAACATATACATACTCCTTAGTACGGCCAAACTTGCACCTAGAGTATGGCCACCAGCCAAACCTAAAAGAACTGCAACTTGACCATCAGAGTGTGCTGCTTGCATTTCATCAGCAGTTTCAACTATTTTCATAGCTGTTTGACTTTTAGAAAGCATTCGCCTAGCTTCATCAATACCTTCTAAAGCTAACTGAACCGCATCCAAATATTGAGCTTCACATGGAACAGTAATAGGCCATAGAACAGCTCCAACCAAATTACTTTTGACTTCATTTATGCTTACTGTCAAATTAACATCTTTTTTTGGATACCAATAGCCTTCAACTAGTGGCGTTTCAGACAGCAGACGTCTTATAAAAGAAAGTCTGGCTTCCAATAAAGATGAAGCACGTAATTGAAGTGCTAATGGAATACCACCAGCTAGACATATGCAAACTAATATTGCGCTCAGTATTGCTACAACTTTTGGTCCTTTGGAACTATTTTCTGGAATTGGCGTGATTGAGTTTTCCATTTTATAAGATTGAATTGAAGCGCTCTTCAACTTTTCAGTCGAATACTTATTTGTCAATGTAATTTCTGGCGGTAATTCAATATCAGCTATTTCAGTGAACACAAAGCATCGTTGTTTACAATGCGGTTGATGCTGATGGTGGACGGTTGGCAATTCCATAAAATCATGATTTGGCACAGGATTCATTTTATTCGACCACTGATTTTCTTGATCTTCTGTTTCAAAGTACGAAAACTTGTTACTTTGCGCCAGCCTGTAAGTCGAATTTTTTTCCGTTTCGACTGTTTTTGCTAAAATTTTATAATTGAAATTTTCTGGAATTACCTATGTATGCATTTGTATACGTATTTACAAGCATTCAAATTTAAATTTGCAATAGAATATTCTAATTTTTATAATAAAATACTTACCAACAAGTGAAAATATTGTATTTTCGTCACCCATATATTGATTTTTCGATAATCCAAAATTTATTTTTATGATGAAAGAACTTCAAAACGAGAGTTGAGAATGCGCAATATAACATTGAATGAATAGATTCAAGAAATGAAAATTCAATTGTTGCATACATTTTCCATATGATTGTCTTTTTGATAAGGTAGAAAAAAATTTTGCGAATGACTCGCGAAACGTATTGTTTAGCAAATGTACTAAAAATTATTTCTGCTCATTAAAATAATAAAACCTAAAAATTTTTGGCGTTAATTTACCGTTATTAACATCTATCATAACATAACCGTTATAAGATCGTCATATTTAATTTTTTACGTCAAAATAATGCCAAAGATAAACGTTTACAATTTTTCTGTTCATAGAAAAAAATTTTATTTGAAACCTATTTGATAATTTTCTGGCTTTAAAAAAAAAAAAAACGAAAAATAAAACTCGCCTACATTTTTGGCAGAACGACAAGCGTAACTTATGACTCAGCTGTAGCAACTCAAATGTAATAATTAAATAAAACAGTTTTTGCTTTATATTCTTATAAGATATTAGGTTTGAAGGAACTTTAAAAAAAAAAAATGTAACTTGTTTCAAAAAGCAAAAATATTATAATTAAAAAAACACAAACCAAATGGAAAAGTTGAAAAACTTTATAAAATAGGTAATAAACGTCAAAAATATCAAAATATTTATCAAACATAAATAAATAGTTTTTTTTTATTTATGAAAAAAGATTTTTAGTTATAAAAAAAGACAAATTTTGATTTTGAATTGTAAAAATGTGAAATTTAGAAAAACAAAAGCCTGTCGAGCAACGAACAAATTTTAAATTTAATTGTTGCAATTTTTTAAAACCTTCTGACACAATAAAAAAAAATATGTTTTGACAGCTTTACGAATTTAACAGTTTTCAAAACACTAAATCTTTCTTTATAAAACTTGAAGAAACTTTAAACATTGAGAAAATGTTTGCTGTCGTCATTATTTTCTCTCATTTTTCAAACTTATACCAGATTATACCAGACCTTCATACTAACACTTTATAAAGTTATATCAAGTTTTATATTTTACAAAAACTTTTTTGTACCAGAACGACCTATTTTTTGATTCTCAATAAAAATTTTGATTTTCAATAAAAATCTAATATATAAATTGACAGGCACCCTTTTCCTTTTCAATATCTGATCAGGTCAGTCAATTGAAATATATCATCGATGTATATGAATTTGCTTTTTTGCAAGACAACTTTTGCATCAATGGTTGACATACGTTTTATTCCGCTTACCAACAAAATTTTCCTCCAAGGGGAATGAGACGTAATATGTAAATTTGACTCAAAATCTGATATTAAATTGATTTATTTACATCAATATTCAGGCTATAAAAAATTTCGGTTATCACATGCTGTATATAGGCATTATCCATATATCTTAATAATCAAAAAGACAAACTGACTATTACCATTTTACTTCTTGCAAAACAAAATTTTGGATACAGTCTTAATAAATATTTTAAAAGAATATAAAATAACAACTTCCAGTTCAAATAACTTCTCGTTCCCTTCAAAATAAAAATTGTTAAAAATTTTCCTAAAATTTTGTGTAAACGATACTATATAACGAAGCGCTACCCAATTACTATTTGTCAAAATTTCGGTTTGTATCACGGCTAACAGAAATGTCAAAGCTTAAATGGATGTAAAGTTATACCTTTTCTGACAAATTAAGTAAGTAAACAAATCGCACGTGAAATTTTATAAATAAATTTTTTTAGAAAATAACACATTAATATAATCCTTATTGTATTATGAAAACTTCTGAAATTTTTCATGGTTATAAAGGTAAAATGCTTAAATAAATCATATTTCTCTATGATTATGGTACGTGTCAATATTCAATTTAATAATTTGTAAAACACAGTTTTGCATACCAAAATAGTGAGTTTACTTGTTTTTACTTGTTCCATAATCATGCTCAAACATTTTATAACTTATATGTACAGATAATTATAATAATATACAAAATTTTAGTTGTACCTTTGAAAGTGAATACAAAATATAAAAATGGACATCAGATATATATGAAGGAACACTATATTCGTGTTATAGATGAGGAAAAACCAAGAGGAAAAACATTGTTTCTGTTAAACATACCACCGTACATTCACAAACAACATTTGAAAAGTTTTTTTGAGAAAAAAGCAGGTGAAGTAGTTTCCGTAATACTTTCAGAAAAACCTGGTAAAGACGAGGAGGGCACTGCAAAATTTAAAATATCTGAAGATGTATTTCTTGGAAGAAAGAGTCCTTTTGTATTTAAATGTGCATATATTGTATTTAAACTTTCGAAATCTATTCAGCAAGCTTTACAAATCACAGAAATTTCTTTTTGTGATACTGAACTTAAATCGGTATTCAAAAGTGGCGTAGAGAAGTGGGCAGATGAATATATTGAAAGTATTATACCAGAAGATGAATTGCAAACTGAAATAGATTCATTTATGAGAGAATATGATGCTAAGGATGCAAAAGCAATAGAAGCTGAAAAAGCTCAAGAAGCTGACAATGACGGATGGATAACAGTTGGAAAACATGGAAAAAATGTTGGATTTGAACAAAAGGAATCAATTATAAATAAAATTGAGGATAAAATGCAGAAAAATAAGAAGAATCGCGAATTGAAGAATTTCTATACATTTCAAATACGTGAATCAAAAATGAAAAATATTGTTAGTCTAAGAAAAAAGTTTGAGGAGGATAAGAAAAAAATAGAAGCATTAAAGAAATCGCGACGTTTTAAACCATTTTAAATTTTATGAATAGTTATATATTAATAAATATACTTTTTTATTATAAGTTTTTGTTTGTTTTTATAATAATACTCATTAAGTTATTATTAGGTAATGTTTCTAATAAGCACAATAATTGTGGGATGTTACCATAAATACATTTTGAAGCCAAAGCAATTTGAGTAGCTTGAGCATACCTTTCTAAACTTATTTGATAATTTTCATCGCTTTCCGGGTCAATATTTTCAAGAATCAATTTTCTGGCATGGTTTTTAAGAGGGTTGACAACTTGAGCTAAATGTTGGGCATTTAGTGCTGTTGCTGGACCGCTTGATGATGGAATTTGTAGTAACGTCTCTAATAAAGCTAAATGAAGGCGATTGTATATTCCTTTCTGGTTTATAATTGGAGCTAAAACTGACCAGCGTATTAAGCCAGAAATAGGAGTGGAGGATGGCATAGCTATTGCACCAGTTGGTAAAGCCAAAGTTTGTTGGGCAGCCAAGCATAAACTAGGATTGTCCGTAATCTAAAATATATGATGAGTAACAGGTTTATGAAATAAAACATAAACAATATTTACTAACCCACTCCGTAAATAACTCTAAAATCATATCTGGCGGTGCCACAAGTACTTCACTTTTTAAATCATTTAAATATAGATCAGCAACGGTTGTCATAAAGTTTGCGGCAAACCTAAATATCATGAAATAAATTTAAAAAATAACTTGAATACATTGTGAAACATGAATGTTTGTGGCTACCTTGGAGCTACTAAAGGCAATTGTTTCAATTGTTCAGAAGTTATTTTTGAAAAAATTATAAAATCCTTAATAAGACATTGAACCAGCTCACAACTGGGACCAGATGTACAGCCAAGCTGTTGCATCCATGTACCTGCGGCACATAATAAAGGTGGAATAGCAACGGATATTGACACACTGATCAGCTTAACCAAAACACTTGTTCGTCCAGGTGTAATATTTCCACCAAATAAAGATAAAAATACCGCATTCCTTGTGGCGTCAGGGCCCGGATGAGAAAAAAACTCGCTGAGTACAATTACTAACTGGAATTCTTGTATAAGAGACAAATTAGGTCCTTGTTGAAATCCAGTCTTTCGGACATCAACTTCCTTTGACTTCTCTAAAAATATTATTTCAGCTATTAAATCCATTGCAACATCTAATTTATTCCGCGTAGTTATAAAGTTTTCTAAAACCATTTAAATAATTTTTAATAAAATATCAGATTTTTCAGTACATACATATTAATTCCGAACCTATTCGATTTAATGTTTCTTTAACTGAATCTGCGTAATCCATTTTTCGCAGTGAATGCTTGAGCTCTAAGGAAGACATAATTTCATCGTTTCCTAAGTACTCCTAAAAAGATTATTTAATATTTGCTATTGTATTTGCAATTTTTTAGCTTAAATGAAATCAAGTTTGTTGTGTATTTTAATTTCGGTTTTAGATTTGTTTACATTCTGTTGCTTGGCTTGACAGCTTAAAATTATTTAAGCAATAGACTTATAAAACCGAATGCAGACGTATAATATTCATCTAGTCCGCCTATGGTTATAGTTTAATAATAAAGTACTAACCAAAATGAAAGCGGTATACGGCACGCTATTTACTCATATTCTAGCTGCAAAATACTGAAGTTGAACGTTGCAAGAAAACGTATTTGTCTTACGTCAGAGATTGAATATGAACAGATTTAAATTTTCAGAGTACTCTGATTAGATGAAAAAAAAAATTTGTAATCTGAAACCTGTAATGCTCCGTACGCCATTTTTTTAAATTTTTATTCAAGGGTGGTTTTATAGTTTTGACGAGCGCTCTTTCACGTGACGCAAACCATTTTTTCCTATCCCATTTGATCCGGTGCCGTTTGCTCAACAAATCACATTTAAGAGATTTTCGTGCTTATTTGCTTCATTAACCATTTTTTTGTTAATGGAGCACATTTTACATGAAAAAAGCATGATTTATTTATGTAAATTTTAGTACTCGTATGCTATGTAAAAAAAGAAAAAAAGCAAAAATTCATTGAAATTGAAGAAATTGATAATTTTATTGAAAAGGTGAAACATCCATTAGAAAATACTGAGAAAATACTATATAAAAAAGCGAGGTACACGATCATTCCGTAAGTTTCACTTCTAATGTGCTCCATTTGCAAAATTATTTGCTTCATGTGCAAGGAGGTTAGTTAGTATTAACAAGCTCATTAAATATAGAGCAATAGCAAAAATGATCAACTTAAAAAAAAATTGAAGATCTCCAAAAAATCTTGGAAGGATGAATGGAATTTTATTCCGTTGTTCATAAATAATTAATAAACTGCAAAATTTAAATAAAATTGTTGCAACACATTTTTTTAAGGTTCAAACCTTCTTTTTCAAATTTCTCAAATTCGTTTTTGTGGCAAATGGAGCAAATTAGACTCTGCGGACGATTTGTAATTTGACGGTAAAACTTTTTAATTTTGTTTGCGCCACTGAAACAGCGATAGTCACTTGAAATGTCAAAATATTACTCAATCCACAGATTTAAATATGGCAGATTCGCAGATTATTTTATTGCGATATGCGACACTGACAGAACTTCTAAATACATAATTTAAATTTTAGTGGACAGAGAAAACAAACTCTACAAACCAAAAATTCACCTTTTCTTTACCTTTGAATTCGTTGTGAGAAAAAGAAATCGAAAAAAATCTAAATAAACTCGAAAATTTAATTTTTATGTAAAATATTTGTTTTAAATATTTTACATAAAAATTTTCTTCTCTTATTGCCAATTTCGACTTTTTTATTATTGATATAATAGATTATCAAAAACATTTGAGTTAACAAGTTTTGATTTTTTTATGAAAAAGGAATAGAGGGCAAATTCCATTAAAAAGATAATGAAAGATAGACTCTAATGACAATTTATTATAAAAATGCCTACTTGCAATCTAAAACAAAATGCATGTCAAAAACGTGTTTTCACATACATTTTGTCGCGAGGGTAGTTATAAAATAACTTAACTAACATATTACTGAGTTACTTTTTGGCAAATTCAAAGTGTATATTAAAATTATTTTAACTTGTCGAAATATAAGCCATGATTTTCGGTGAAAAAAACGCGAGATAAAACTTATTAATTTTTATAAAGATTGTTGAGAAAATATTTAATACAGTCTACTGAAAACTTGTAATTAATTTAAAAAATATAGTAATTATAAATAGGTACTTATTGTTTATTAAAATTTAAATGAATTATTTTTTATTAGAATTTTTATTTTTTGTCAGAATCACTTTGAATAAAACGTGACATATCAACCGTTGATAGTTGTTGTGTAAACACACGTATTAAATACTGTACAAATTTAAATGAAAAATCAAAATTAATTGTTTGGTGAACAAATGTACTTTTGCTTGATTTTGTAATTTTATGCAACTGTCACTTTAAAATTTGACAGTTTTTTGTTTATTAGGAAAATTAAATTGTAACACTTAACTTTACATAAAATTTGTATTAAAAATATTGCAAATAAAAAATTTAATTTCTTTCACTACAAAAATATTATGCTATATAATTAAATATGAGCAAAATAGCAACCAATAATTCCTCGCCAAAATGTTCTCCTGCAAGTTTTGTGGAAATACATAAAAAATTTAAAGTAAAAAAACATCCCCAAACCTAATTGATACATTTGGCATTTACAATAGCATTCCATTATTTTTAGGAATCATTGGAAATAGCGTTTCAAAATGAGCATTTAAGCTGTGTGAAAATTGATTATGATTCTTTTAAAAACAATAATGATGCTGACAAAAAATCGGCTTTGGATCAAGCTTTTCGAGAGTTACTTTTGCTGCAACTGAATGATATTTCGAAAGTGGGGTCTGTAATATCACTTTCAATTGAAGCGGTGCGACAAGACATTGTCTCTGTTACTATTCCAGTTGTTCTTTTAGGCGATGCATTTGATGCTGTAACTTTGGAAAAATGTGAACAGATTTTTACTTTTGTTGAAGATAGAGTGAGCATTTGGAAAGAAGAAATATTTTTTGTAAATTGCAAAAACAATATTTTACGTATGTGTAATGACTTGCTACGTCGCCTGTCGCGTACACAAAATACAGTTTTCTGTGGAAGAATTTTATTGTTCTTAGCAAAATTTTTCCCTTTCTCTGAACGATCTGGCTTAAACGTCATTTCAGAATTCAACTTAGATAATATAACAGAATTTGGTGTAGACGACAAAGATTCTGAAGAAGTTTTAGCTGACACACTAGAAGATATTCCTGTAAAAATTGATTACAACTTGTATTGTAAATTCTGGGCTTTGCAAGATTTTTTTAGAAATCCAAATCAATGTTATAATAAAGTTCAGTGGAAGGTTTTTGCAAGTGTGAGTTACACTGTTATGTTAATAAGGTTAAAAATTAAAAATATATGCACTTTTAGCATGCAACCGCTGTTTTGTCTGCTTTTAACAGTTTTAAATTAGATGAACAAAGAGGATCAAGTTTGAAAAAAAGGAAACATGGTCTTACCAACGGAGAAGTTCCAATGGAAGACAACGAAGAAAAAAATTTTAAAACTGAGCATTTCTTTGCAAAATTTTTGACAAATCCTAAACTATTAGCTTTACAACTTTCCGACTCTAACTTTCGTCGATCGGTGTTGGTGCAGTTTTTAATTTTATTTCAATATTTGACTTCAACAGTCAAGTTTAAAACGTAAAAAAATTTGCAAATATAATATAATATGTTATTTTAGGTTTATTTTTAGAGAATCATTAACTTTAAACCAAGTCCAATCAGATTTCATTAAAGAAACTGAAGCAAAAATATACAAGCTTTTGGAAGAGACTCCTCCACAGGGCAAAAAATTTACCGTCACAGTACAACATATGTTGCAACGAGAAGAGATTTGGAATAACTGGAAAAATGAGGGTTGCAAAGATTTTAATAAGCCCGATCTAAAAGAAGAAACAAACGAAGAAGAAGTTTCGAAACCGAAAAAACCAAAAAAATCGCTGGGAGAAGCTATGAAAGAAGCCTCTAGAAAAGGACAATTTTTTATGGGAACGTTAGTATTAATAATAAAATTAAATAAAATTACTTAAAAAAAAAAAACAAAACTAAATTTCAGAAATGAACTTACACGTCTCTGGAATATCGCACCAGATAATCTAATGGCATGCAAAAGTGAAGATAGAAATTTTTTACCGCAACTTGAAACATATTTAGAAAATCCACGAGAGAAAAATGATACTTCATTTGAATGGCGTGCTCTAAGGTTACTGGCGCGACAATCTACCCTTTTTTTTACATCAGTTAATTCTCCATCACCAACTTGTAAAGTTGTAGATTACTTAGAAAGTGTCAGGCGTAAAATTTTAAAAGATAAAAATGAAATAACAAAAGTCCAAGAAGCCGTTAATAATACTGTTTTGGAACAACATGAACAAGAAAGTGTTGCATTAGAAGAACAGGATGATGCTGAATTAATGAAGACGGAAAACTTAACTCCAGATGATCATAACGCTCACAAGACGAGCACTGTAACTAAAGAAAATATTGAAGAAATAGCTAGTAAAATTGGTTCAGAATGGAAAAAGTTAGGCAAAAAGTTGGGATTTTCTCCTGATGAATTACTGTATTTTGAAAGTGAAAACTCAACGGTAGCTGCTCAAGCACAAGCAATGCTTACAATATGGTTTCAAGATGATGAAGATGCAACATTGGATAATTTAGCATATATATTGGAAGGATTTGAAATGCAAGCTGCAGCTGAAATTTGTAAAAGCATTATCGATCCACCGACATCTAAAATAGAAGAAGTTTCTGATTAAAATAAGAATTTATATTTCTTCTTATTTTTTATAAGAAGGCAGTAAAACGATATACATGTAAATGAAAAATTTAATTATAATTATAAAATAATTAAAAGAAACGTTTGTATGTGACAAACACAATAGAATTAAAAATGATATTAGAATATAATTCTATAATAATTTTCATTTTGCCATAGTCAAAAAGAAAACAAAAAGAAGAGATTAGCAAATTGACTTATGAATTTTCTGATTATCGACCAAATATTTGCATTTTGCGTGATTTTTATCTATAAATGGAAAGTTTAAAAGAAAGATTAACAGACTAATTTGAATTTTCCAAGAAAAGCTGTTTAACTAAAGTTGCTACTGTTGATAATCACTTTATATGAAAAAATATTGCAGAACTTTGCACTTGGATTAAGGGAACAAGAGAATATTATGAGAACAACCTAGTTAGTATTATTTTCTCTTATAGTAATGACTAAAATTCTGAGTTTTTCCGAACTTCTTACTTACCGGGTCGAAACAAAGTGTGTAAGAGTCATATATTCGTGTAATATAACTTTGAAGTGAGAATTCTTTTCGTATTACGTGACTGAGAATAGAGGCTCATAATGAGGCTATGATTCATAAATAGGAATCAGCAAAAAAAACACTTAAGGCTAGATTTAAAAATTAATAGATTGCAACTAAATTTTTTTTTGTTTTATATTTTATACAAAGTATCACATAGAAAATATGAGATTCCATACATAACGTGTTATGTAAAAAGATTAATTTAATATACATATGTATTTATTTTAAGATATTTAGTAACTTTATAAAAAAAATGGTTAGTATCAATATTTTTATTACATTTAATTTTCATCAATGTTGAAATAAAATGGAACTTTTTTTTTTAAATAAAATTATGTTCAAAACTACGGGAATGTTAAGTAAAGAACCTGAAAAAAAATTATGTGTACATATTTTTATATTATGTACGTACGTATTATATTTTTAGATTTTATTTCATTGATTTAAGTCGCGACATAGTTTGCGTGTAAAAATTTAAGTATATAAAGAATCCTTTATAAATAAATATTTTTAAGCAGGGTTAGTATCGCTTTTTAACAGGTTTAGGTTTTGGTTTATTATGTAGCATATTAGCACATTTGGGTATATGGCGATTAGCTGCTGCTTCATTAAAACGACGTGAACAATGTGGACATTGTATATAATCAGGATTTTCAGATGGTGGTGGTGGTGGTAAATCTGATAGTTTACCACCTTTTGCTAAATGTTTTTGAACTTCTTTGGCAGCTCTAATAGCAGCAATAAATTCTTCATGTTTTTTTCTCCAATTACTTTTTTTAGAATCAGAATTAGAATTGATAGATTTAGTTGGACCTGATTTTACAATTGTTGATGTTACAGGAGTTTTTAATATTGAATCTGATTTAATTTGACCTTTAGCAATACGTCTTAAGTATACTTCTGCTTCAGTTCCTTTAACTCTATGTTTTGTTGAATCAAAAATTTTTCGTTTTTTATTAGATGCTTTTAAACATATTTCTTCATGTTTTTCAACACGATCTGAATTAAAATGACGTCCACATATTTTGCATGCTGCCATCCCAGGTGGTGGTGGTCCAAATGATGGTTTGGCTGTTTCATTTGTTTTAATTATTTCCGCTTTTGAACTCAAAACTTTTGTATTATTTTTCTAGAATTAAATTGAAAAAGAATATAGTTTTATTTCAAAAATATTTAAGTTCAAGTATTTAAAAAAAAATATTTTTATAATGTTTCGCCAATCAAAATCAAATTATTTTTAAGATTTAAATTGTTTTAAATAAAATTATTTTTATACCGGCACATTTCTTAAAGATTTCTCAGGAGTATTAGATTGAGTTCTCCTTGTTACATTTTCAGATGAATTTAATTGTGCACTGTTCTTCTTTAAAGAGTTAGCTGAAGATTGTGGTAATGTTTTGCGTGTAATTACTGGCTTCAATTTAATATTATTTGTTGTTTTTAAATTTCCTTCAGAATTATTGTTTTGTTCATCAATACTTAACTTTCCAATATTCGGTAGTTTTCTGTTGATATTTTCATTGTCAAAATTCATTTCGTCTAAAAGTTTAAAAAAATAAAAGTTTTTTAATATTATTTTATTATGCATGTAATTATGTGTGTACATAAATATTGAGTAAAATTGTTATTAATTTTATTTTAAATTGACAATGAAAATTATGATATCAAATGAATTTTTTTTTAAAAGTTAAAAACTTTCATTAATTACAGAAACATTAGTATATCAAATTAATCAAAAATATCGAAAATAACGTGATTTTTAGAAAAATGTGTTATAAAAAAACATGTTTTAAATTGGTATTTCATTGTTCTTACTGCTGAAAAGTTTAAAATATGATTCATATAATTGAAGATATGGAAATTTCTAAAAAATTAATTGATTTTGCTTTGAAAGATTTTCGATTTCTAATATTTTTATAGATTCCATTATATTTTTATAATTTAACTTGCAATTTTTATAGTGAAATTAGCGTAAATATATATAAATAAATAAGCTTGGGTATGTTATCGAATTTTAATTAATTTTATTACAGCATTATGCTATTTAATATACTTAATATATAATATTTTACACCATAGAAGACAAAAGGAACGCAAATATTCAATCTTACTCGTTATCACCCTTACAGAAAACTGCATTACAACTTGATTTTCTTTATTAGTTTTAGCGTCCTTACTCCTTATATTTTCAACATAATAAACATATATAACTGTTTACATTGTTTAAACAGTTATATTGAATTACCAACAGTTACTTTGTGAACTTTATCGTTAGACAAAATATTATTTTGACAAAATGACAAGGTGTTTTTTTTTAAAAAAATGTTGTAGCAGCAATAATTTTTAGAATTCCTAATGACTACTTAAATTTTCATTAATATTCTGTATGTTTCTGAGCAAATGTAACGGGGTAGGTTCAAATATAAAGAACATAATTAAATAAATTTTTGAGAATGTTAAGTGAATATAAAATATTAATAAGTATGATTTAAATACAAGTTCTTCTTACGCAGACTTTGAATAGAGTGATTGGCTGCGATTTTTATACTCTTGGGCATAGTATAAAATGAAAGCATGGCAATGAATAGAACTAGTAATGGTATTTATTATAATATTGTTATGGAAAATAATAAAAACACAAATTCATATAGCGCTAATCTCCCTGTTCTTATGTTGCTACATAAACACAACATAGTAGATATATACAGGCGCGGTTCTGATGTATTCGTCGCCCTAAGCGGTTCCTAAAAAGTGCGCCCCCCCCCCCCCCCCCCCCCTTCAACCTTTTCACCTATTTTATTACTGTGAACAAAATTTAATAGGCATTGCACATTGTGCATCATAAAACAGTTTCTTGTAACCTTATTGTGCTGAATTATAGAATTAAAGTCTGGAACTAAACTTTCAATTTTTTGTTTTATAAATTCAAAAACAAGGTAATTTATTTAACTGTACGTTTTTTTATGAAGTTATGATCAGATTTATATCAATCACTTAAACTTGATTTTTTGATTTTAACAACCAAAAAATTTACTTTTTGACGTAAGTGAAACTTATTGTAAAAGATTCTATGAAAATTATATCAAATGAACTTTTTCACAGCTTATTTGAATATGGAAAAAAGTAAAAAATTATTTTTATTTTTATTCGTAATTTTATTTTTATTTTTATAATTATTTTTATTTTTATTCGTAAAATTTGGCTTTTTATTTCACAAATCGCCTGAGAAATGAAGCAGCGTATAAAAAAAGTTTCGACTTGCATTCAAAAATTTAAGGAAAATCAAAGTTTCGTTCTAAAATTTGTGACTTAAAAACTAAGCTTTTCATGTACATAGCTATAAGCTTTTATACTGTTCATTATATTTTTTAGATTTTATTAAAATAAATGCATTTACTGGTATTTATAGGCTCGTGGTTTTGAAATTTCAGAATGTCGTTTTGCTTAACTGTTTTAATTTTGGAGATAAATGTGTGAAGCAAATTATGCGCCATTTCATTTTACTCTTATTTTTTGGATGACTTACACTACATCAATTCAGCATAAAAATTCTTAACATTCGCTTGATTATTAAACAACATTTTTTCAATTCAATATAAGTAGTAGATTTTATGAATTAAAATTTAATTCTATGATTGATAACAGTTTTTTCAAAAACGAAAGCAGAACATAGTAGTAGAAATTCATAACGATCATGTAATTTTAAAATTCATTCAAAATTTTTTGTTGTTAAACAAAAACAAAATATTGGTATACACAATCTCAATATCAAGCTATGCTTTCCATCATTTAAGAATATTGTTCTCATTCTCTTTTTCTAATTTCTTTCTATTCTCATTCTTAATTTGTGTTTTTTTTTGTTTTGTTCTTGTTGTTTACTAATGCAATAGTATACAGAAAAGTAATACATTATAATAATGTGTTTGTTTGTTTGGTGAGTGGGCGACAACTAAGCAAAAATAAAATTTTGCATGTATGAAACAATTTAAATATAATGTGTACGAACGAGTGTAGCCACTAAGCATAATAAAAACATTGCTTTGTGATATAATTATATGTGTACGAGCGAGTGTTGATAGGGAGCAATCTCAGCAAAATAAAAATTTTGCTTTATGAGATAATTATATGTGTACGCATGAGTGTTGATCTTATTCATATTAGACAATATAAATTATGTGTACATGTGTATTTTTGAATATTTTTATTTGTTGCGTACATTGCTTCTATATATGTATGTATATTATATGAGACGATTTCACTTATATATATGAACGTTTGAATGTATACAGCTGTGTGAAATAATATTCTGTGTTTATAGGCATATACAGTACATAAAAAATAAGAATGAAAGAGTAGTGTAGAGTAAAGAAATGTATGAGTAATTTTAATTCTATGAACATTTTTTGTTATATGGTGCAAATAGAAAATATGTGTAGGAACAAAATATTATGTTTGCATGTAGGTAGATTTTATTAAGTTAATTTCGCTATAAATTGATGTATAAAAAAAAACTTGGAATCCTTTTTTTTTTGGGTGAAAATTTTTTTTTTTTAAATTTAGGGGTTTTTTAAGTTTTCAATGGCGCCCCTATTTTTTATCGCCCATTGCAAATGCATACTTTGCATGTATGATAAATCCGGGGCTGGATATATATTTAAACATTTATTATTTACCTACACAAACTTATTTATTACGTTAAAAATTAAAGACGTGATAAGTATATGAAAATAACTGTGTAGAACATTCTTATTTAAATTTATATTTACATACCAGGAAAAGTTTCGTCATCCAAATTATTATTATTATTATGATTTTCATTTTGAAAGTTTTTTCCATTATTAATTTGTTGTTTTTTATTATTTGATTCATTCATTATAGTTCCTTCAATAGCAGAAACATTTTCATTATTAATATAATCATTCTCTTCATCATGATCATCATCATTATTATAATTATTATCATTATTATTATTATTATTTTCATTATAATTATAATCAATGTCATCAGGATAATCGTTTCCACTATTATTATTATTATTATTATTACTGTTATTATTACGTATTGTTGTAATATTTCTTTCATTAATTAATGATGCATTTAAGCGACCATTTATAGGAGTTTTCTTTAGATTAGTTGAATTAACAGATTGTTGTTGTTGACTAGAATTAGGTATTACTTGTTTACGTAATGATTTCGTTGCTGCTGTTGACGATGATGATATTTTATTTGTAACTAAATTTCCATTACGATTCGTTGAATTTATTGTCGTTGTTGTTTTTTTTGTAATAAAACCACTACCGCTACTGCTATTACCACTGCTACCGGATGTTGAACGTTGATTATTACTATTCGATAATGGTTTCAATGGATAACTTTTATCAATTCCAGTACCACGACGTCTTTCATCGAACATTTGTCGTACCTTAAACGAAATTGAATCGAAGATGAAAGGAAAAAAGATTATTAAAAATTTTGAATAATAGAAAAGGGAAAACAAAATCTATAGAAATTAAAAATAGTGGCTTTTAATTTATTTTTTAAATTTTTGGTTTTTTTTTTTTTTAAGAGAATTCATAATTAACAGATTAAATTTTGTTTTTGTAATCTGTTTTGTTTGTAGCGTGCTTCATTATATAAAAAAAATATTACAAAAAAAATAGGGAAAAAAATTTTTTTATGTTTTTTATTTTGCATGCAAAAAAATTTCCTTTATTTAAAATAAAAAGAAAAAGTGAAAAATTAAAAAAAAACTTGACGAATTGCACAACAACGTAGAGTTTTTGTTTCAAAACCTTTCCTTTTTTTTTGTATTCTTCTTTTTAATTAACAATAAAGAATGGTGTGGTTTATTTTCTTTTGAGAAAAAAAAGGATAACACATTGCTTTTAGGGACTTTTTTGTTGTTGTTATTGATAAGGTGTTGATAAAAGTATTTTGTTAATTTTGTTTTAGTATCTGAAAGACTATTAATGACTCTATTAAGATTACTTATAAAAAGTGAAACTATATAGGTAGTTTAGGTAAACTTTATCACATAATTAATTTTCACTTTTTAATTAGATTAAAGACTTTAATGATGTGGTGATTTTAGGAAATTAATAGATTTAGGTCTACCTATATTTAAACTAGTTTAAAATTCATTTTAAAAATTGGTTGTCCTTATAGAGTTTCGAAAATTTTATATTATAAAAAAAATTTTGGATTCAGCATAAATTCAATTAGTAAGAGCGGTAATTTAAAATTTAATATGTCATTAAAAATATTTGTTTTAAAAGAAAATTTGGTGTAGTGTAACATTGAATTTAGGGACTTGACTAAATTTTTAAAAAGCAAATTCGAAGAAAAATCTTGAAACAAATATTGAGAAAGCAGTAATTTTTATTTTTAAGTGGTTTTATAATAAGTCCTAAGTAGCTGCTGAAGTGATCATGTATTATGTATTAGGAAATCCTGAACCTGTTTCTATAATTTGTCTATAATTTGAAGTGCTTCACTGATAGTGTCTGAAAGTGAAAAAGATAAAATTATACAAACGTTAATCAATAAATTTAGTATAGATTCCCAAATCCCCTAAATGAAAGCAAGGGTTGAATATTTACAGTAAAAATGATAATGATTCTTTTCCTTCCCATGAAATTGCATCGCAATAACAGTCACGACTTTCTATTAGTGAACGATAGCAACTCGTTTGTACTGTTCTTTCCGAAGGTAATATTTTTAGACCTTCCTTGACATTTTTATAGAGCGACACCATTTTGAAAATTTTTTCGATCATAATAAATCCAAAAATTTATAAACGTATCTCACACATATAACAAGAAAAAACACAATATAAGAATTATTACATTACTATAGTACACAGTTTAATAAAACAGAGAAGTAGGGAGAAAATAATATTATAGAAAATGGGAAAGAAAAATGCCTTCTTATTCCTTATAACAAATTAATCATTGAATACAATAATTATGAATAAGAAGGGAATAACAACATTTATTGCGTGTCAAGGTTACTATATGTATACAATATTAATGTTCAAAAAATTTTCTATTGATGATGAACTTTTTACTTATCAATACAAAGTATATTTATATAATACCGTTATATGTATGTACATATATACTATGCATTACGTTTTTTAAAATTGGGAAAATTTTGAATTAATTATAGAAAACTTTTTACATAAAAATAAAATTAAAATAAACAATAGAGGAAACTTATTTGTGTAACTTTATACTTAACACAAATATAATTACAAATATGTATGTACATACATACGTATATATAAAAAGTTAATAAAAGTTCAAGAATAAATTGGCATTGAATTAATAAAATTTTTCGAAAAATTTCAGGAATTTTATTTTTTTTTATGCAGAATTCGGTTGATTTTTGGTAAAATTTGTTTGCTTTACGAAAAGAAATGTTGATCTCAAAATTTGTAAGGCTTTAATTAAAAAACTTAACCTGTACACATTACTTAGTATTTTTTTATCTTTTGAATATTTTTATGTTCGGATACAAGCTAGTAATTCGAATTTGAACCCGATAAAATATTTTGATTTTATGATTCCGATACATGCCATGAGATATAGAAATATGTTCAAATCAAATTCTATGGGTTTATAAAGTCTTTGTTTAATGTGTCACAATAAAACAAGTTTAAATTTCATTTTAGAAATGTCAAATATAGCTAATAAGGCGGCTTTGAGAAACATTTTGTAAGCCTTTCGATCGGAAAGGTTTGAACCTTTCGGATCGGATCTTACGTCCAACCATTTTCTACTCCAAAATATTTGAGGAAAGAGGAGATAGCATAGAACTTGTTTTTATCGGAGGTATATAACAAACAGGATTGACATGGTTCCTTTAAGATGTAGGTCTCAGTCCATAAGAATTAATCTAATATATGGAACTCCTCATGAATTTCTGAAATTTCGTTAGAGAAATTTCCAATCTACATGTCAAATTTCTTGAGTTCAGTTGATAAAAATCTAAGAAAAAGGAACCGTAGTTTAGGTTTTTAAATCTGTTGCATTGTGACAATGATCCATATTTTTAATATTTTTTATTTCGTGCACCAGTTTTGAAATTATTTTCTTTAATAAAGAAACTTCAACATTTTAATTTTAACTTGTCTTTACTATCAATGTGTGTATATGTGATTATTATCAATGTATGTATATGTCTTTATTATCAATGTGTGTATATGTGAATATAATATATGCTACCTGGCAATCATTTCATCAAAGCTCAATATGAATAAAGTTGGGTCAAACTAATGGTTTGTATTGTAGCAGCTTTCCCTTGAACAATTAGGGAAAATGCTGCCTTTAAATACAGTTTGTGTATATCTACCACACTATTATAATTATTTTCATTCATAAACGAAACTATTTCTAGGCTTGCATATATGTAGGATGAACGATTTATGTAGTCTTTGAAATAAAGCGAAAATTAATATAAAGTGGGGTTAACATAATGCTCGATTTCAAGGTTTAATTGTGTGAGTTAAGAAAAATAATTATATTTTTTAATGTCATTGAATTTACCGTTAGCTTTTTCCGTTTTTAGATAACGGTAAATTTGAACGGCGATTTTGTTTTTTTAAAGTTTAACTATAGTATGCCACGATAGCAAGCCACTGCCTTTCTGCGTTTGCAAAATTTGAAAAATGCTTATGGTTTCATTACAACAAATAGTTAAAAAAGGCCATTTTAAGGTTTTGGAGGGGTATAACTTTTAGAGGGGATGAGAGAGGTAAAAATTTTGTTCTACGGAAATAAGTTTCTAGTAAAGATCTATGTACATATTAAATTTCAGCTTTCTATCTTCAAGGGTGTAGAAATTTTGTAAACAAAAAAATGTCCACGGACGAACTGGCGGACAGAATGAAACTAATAAGCACTTTTTTCGAAAAATTTTTGGAAAAGTGCTAAAAGGTGGATTTTTTGAAAATGATTTTAATTTAAAGTGTTTTTAATTAAGTTAATTAATTTACAAAGCAATAGTTTTTTTTTGCTGCTTGATATTTTGTTTTAGAAATATTGAAACAAAATTAATTAGTTTGCTGATAAATTTAGGTCTTAGTATAATATAAAGGGGAGACATTTAAAACATATTTTGAATGGTGCGGTTATCTTGGTTTTTAAATATTCATTGATGAAACAATGAATCTAAGTAAAATGTTGGTTCAAATTGATTTTATCTTTCTTAATTTTCAATTACGAATTTTTTCTTCTCGCCGTTCTCAAAATTGATTAGGGTAAAGGTTTTTCAAGTATCTATATTTTTCCTTTTCTTCATTAGCCAAGGAACAAAAAAAATTTTGGAAAATTAATAATATACCCGGTAAAATTTGTGATTATTTATTTATTCATCTATAGGAATGAATGCAAAGGATTTTAGATAATGTTAGAGATTTTTTCGTAGAAATTCGAAGTTTCTATGACAGTTCAATGCTGCAAAGTTGTTTTTTGGTATAAAAAATTTATTTTTGGTGCAATGGTTGGTCATTAATTATTAAATGGATTCGAAATTGAAGTGAATTGCATGAGAAAAATTATTTTAACTATTTTAATGAAAATATTTTCATTTTTTGTACTGCATTATGCATATACTTACATAATGTACTAAATCAGAGCCATTTTGTGCTCAAATTTGATGTTTTGTGCTTGAAGTTTCTTAAAAATTTGAGCATATGTTGAGAAATTGAGAAAATTATTTCGGTTTCTTCAAATTATTCTTATCGTTGTTAAAATGTAAAAATACATTCATAGATTATAAAATATTAAAATGGAAATGAAAAAATATTTACAAAAATTTGCACTTTCAAAATAAATATGAGATTTTTTCAATAGTTTTTCCTATTGTTTTTCACATTTCTTGTGGTATAACGCAATAATAGTTTCAAAACCAATTTGAAGAATTGACTTGAATAGCGGTAACAGGACGTGATATGCCTTATATTCATATGACATATAAGATTAAGTTGTAAAACACTGGGCATAAATGAACAATGAAACCCCAATTGAAAATAAAAAGTTATTTTATGATTCATTCGGTGGTTTGAATTTAATTAAAGAAGCGCACTTAGAATAAAACATTTTTAGTAGAGTAAATTTTTGTTTACTCAAATTATGATGCCAGACTAGAAATTTACACAAATTTTACTGACAAATTTTACTGGCTGGAGTTTCAAAAAAACCAGCTCAATTGTTGCTACAAATGTATATGTCGCGATGATTCATATCTATTCATTTGATTGGTGAGGGAACCCTTATGAAATTACTTTCAAAGTATACTATTGAAAACGCAATAGAAATTATACGTACTTGTATAAGTAGATTTATATTTAAAATTACATAGATTTTTGCGATATTTTTATACACAACTAATTGTTATATTCTTAATTGTTAATTGTTATATTCTTATTTGCTTAAAATCGGTTTAACTGTAAAATACATTAGGTAGCTTTTTTAAGTCAAATGAAATTAAACGAAGCAAGGTTTAAGAGCTCCTGGAAGGCTTGATGGGTTTTCTAAAAGATAAGTGTACACGAAAAAATTTAACTCGATTTAATCTAACACAATGTTGTTAAATTGTTTTTTTTTAATATTCGTCCATTTAAATTTTTCAAGTTCTTATAAAAACCGTCAAAGCTGACAAAAAACCAGTTCTTATTTTATTCTCTTATTTTCATTTTATTTTCAACTTCTGAAAAAAATTTTAAGTATTCTAAATAAAAAATCTTTTGATCTCAATTTGTTTAAATGAAAGCAATTTTAATTTTGTTTTCCTTAAAGGCAATCGTCAAAGATTTTAAAGAGTTGAGTGAATTAAAGATTAATTGACAATTAATTTCACAATGTTAACAGTACATACACATCTATAAATAATCAAGTTTCCCGATTAAAAAGATGAGTTTCTTTTCCTCAAATTTTTATGAAAAGAAAAGAAAAAACAAAGTCATTTTTTTTTTTTGTCAATTATTTAGGATTACGATGAAAAATTCTAATATTTCATAAATCGTATATACACAGGGAGAATACAATATAAAATTTGTCTTCAATATAATATCCTTTTTCATATAATCTAGCTCTAGAACCTATATATTATACCTTTTTCTGTATAAAATAGAGTGTAGATTGACATTATTTGAAAATCACTTTAAAAAGACATTTGAGCAATACAAATACAAATTTTTCAAAAAAATGAAAAATCTATTTTACCTTTGTATACAAAATCTATCGAATATACACCTTTAATACACTAATATTTACGAGCACACATATAAGAGCGTTTGTATATAACTTTGTATATTTAATTATAATTCACCTTCAATATAAATATATATATGTATATATATATATATGTATGTAAATACCATAAAATTTTTCTTATAAACATACCTTTCCAGGAGCAATATTCGAATTCACGGCTTTTGTAGAGGATGCTGTTGATATCGTTTCTGTTGTCGTTGCTTCTTCCATTGCCAATTTACTTGATGTCATTTCCACTCGTCGTTGTTCACGTTCCAATTGTTGTTTTTGCTGAAATCTCATCTATATTGAAAGAAAACAAATAAAAAAAAAGAAAGATCAGTAAAAAATGAAATATAAGAACATAAGAAAAAAAAAACAACAAAATAATAAAACAGAAAAATTTATTCGAAGACATACCGGTTAAGGAAAATCGAAAATTCGAGAAAATTATAGAATATAACCTTATAAATTATATTATAATAGAAAAGTATTTTTTTATTATAATATAGTAATTGAAATTCTTATACAATTTTGAAACTAATCTATTTTTCTATTCTCTTACATTTTCTACGGTGAAAATATGGACGAAATTGAGTGCAACGTTTGTCCATTTAAAATGCTTTAGTATGTTAAATCCCATTATATTTTTAAAAAATGTACTTATTACCAATTAAGATAAAAGCAATTCTCGCTAAAGAAGAACAACCTTTTACTGCCGCGATATACGTAAAATCCAACATAAACTTTTTGTGTTCATCATATATCAAGGGCCTAAAAACATTCTTGATTTACTCAGCTATGATTTTTTTCCACCGACGAGCATTAGACTAAACGAGTTAAATTTTGAGTAGATTTCTTAAAATTCCTTATTATATGCATCTAAAATTAATTTTATGACTTTATAAATCGAACTTTTCTATATATTGAATTTGATTCTATTTTCTATACAAAGTTGCCTATTTGTAGTTCAAAACAAGAGCTGCTGTTAAGTTAAATAATCAAATATTTATTACAGTTCGTTAATAAACAAAGAGCTGTAATATCACTATAAGATTGATATTTTTTGAGCTAACAGAATTTCAAAAATTTTGTATTTTCTGTTTATATACCGCTAACCCCAACATCCGCAGTATGATCCGCAACTGCAGATGAAATGCCCTGCTATTATTTCCCGCTAATGAAAAAATGTTCACAAATGTTTCACAGTAAGTTTGAACGGTTCTGCAAATGGTTATTAAGACTACAGTGGCTCTAGTCGTAGAAATCCAGAAGACAAACTTAAAAGCGCAATTTTTTTTTTAATGAAAGTTTTTTGAAAATTAAATTGCCCCATTTCAGATATGAAAGAGACAACACGATTTTTTGTTTTTTAATTTTTTACCGAATTGAGATAAATAGCTTTAAAAAGTAATAATAATAGAAGAAGAAGAAAAAATATAAAATAAAAAAAAAAATTTCTTTTTTTTTTATATCAACATTTTTCCATTCGAGAAAATTAATTAAAGGGAAAACTAAGATAAAATACCAAAAAAAAATATAACATTGGCAGTTAAAAAAATGTTTGTTCTTAAAACTTTTTTTTTTCTCATTTCTTAAATATTCCCGGAAAACAAATATAATATACATAGATACACACGTACGTACATACATTATAAAAATTTTTATAACCTGAATGGAGAAATTAAACCAAAATGAAAACAAAATGATTTAAAAATTTTCATGAATTTCCTTTAGAAAATTTCTATGCATTTTTACATAAATGAATGTGTGTATGTTTTTATATACATATACGTATGTAAATTGTGTATATCTTATATAAAATACTGTAATTTAACCTCAACATTTTAGTATTATCGTGATGATAGCAAGCACTTCTATATCTAACGATCTTTGAGTAAGTGTTTGTACTCAAATATTTTTTGAAAATTTTTCTTTGTTATTGTTGTTGTTCTTGTTTTTTTTGTAGTATATAACAAAATTTAATTGTTTTAAAAAGTAATAATATTAAATATACCCCAATGTGTGAACATAAAAGAAAAAAAAACTTTTTACATAAGAAAATATTATACAGGATTCTAGTGCGGGTAGGTTATCCAATATATTGTACGTAAATAATATAAGATCTGAAATTATTTATAAAAGAATTTCTTAAACATATATAAAATATTCACAGGCACATAAGAGCATATAGAATGTAAACATATAAAGTAAAAATATTCACATACACACATATGCAATTTTTAAAGAGAGCATAATTATTATTGCGATAAAATTTTTGAAATAACGAGATTGTGCTTTATATACATATGTATGTATAATAGAGTGAAATATTTTATATTGTAATTTGATCAGATGACCTTGAAAATTTAAAGTCATGATAAAAGGTAATAAATTTCGAGTATATATGAGTCGCTTCCTTTTGATATTTCATTAATGTATATATATTGATATTTTACACTATACATGTAAATCTGTATGAAAAAATATATATAACATGCATATCAGCATATGTATTGGCTCTGATATACAGGGTTCAAAATTCGTATGTAAGATTTTTTATTGCTTTAAAATGAAAGAATTATGAATAAAATATTTTTATTTGAATTATTTTAATAAATATAATTTAAAATATTCAATGAACTGAGTATCATACCTTATTAATATATATATATGTACATTTTACAAAATTATTTACATAATAAATGTATATATGCATGTTTTTCATTGAATAGAATTTCAAAGATATAGTGAGCAATGAAATTGGATCTTGATTTAATAGTATGAAGGTATTTTGATTTTACAAAATTTATATACGAAAATTTAACAAATATTGGCGCAGACAATTCCAAAATATTGCATTGAATTAAACCTTGAACCAGAAACTATTTATGTTTAGTATAACTGAATATTTTATTCTATATAGTCAAAAATTTCATTTTACAAAGATTTTACTTTTAATTTCGTTCGTTCTCTATGCTTGTATAATATTACGAACGCAAACATGTTATTAGCTGTAAATCAAGAAAATCCCAATGTCAATAAATTCGAAATTAATGAACTTAGAGCTGAGAAATATAATGTATAAAAAAAATTACCTAATATCTAACAAAATACTATTTAAATTCTTCTTCCCTAAATACGAGTAATCCTTATATACAAAGAATATACAAGAAAATTATTGGAGAGAAATGAAATTTAAAGAGAAAATTCCACCCTTGTAATGATTGCTTTTTTAAATTTACTTAAGTTCAATTACAGGCAGGTAAGACAAGGTGCAATTAATGCTTAAAAGTTGAAATAACGAAAGTTAGATAAAAAAATTATAATATTATGGAAACACATGAACTCTGTTTCATTTTTAGTTTTCAATTTCTTTGAAGTGAAAAGTTTTTAAGAGAATGTGTTTACGAACATATCTAAAAATGAACAATTAAGCCCGTATATTAGACATGGCTATGAACATGTATAATAATATATCGCAACGTATAACATTCACGTATAATAATATAAGAAAAACATTTTTATAGTCATAAGACAACGAACTGGAATGCAAGAGGACGAAGGATAAGGAAAAAAAAAGCGGAAATTAAAATTGTATATAGATTGTATGCTATGTCTTGTATATAGCTGTAATATGTGTATATGGGGATAACAGAACTGACATAATGGCTAAAACGTGGGTAATGTTTCTAACGATATAATTGGAATATATTATAAGAATAGGGAAAGAAATTTCAAAATGAAATGTTAAAGAAAAAAAAAAGTTTTCTTTTTTTTCGTATTCTTAATGAGAATTTTGTTTTCCTTCAAGATTTTAATGATAAAAATATAAAAAATTCCTTAATTTTGTAAAAAGAAAATTTTTTTGTCTTTTTTTTTTGGAATTTTTTTTACCAATTTTAATCGTATACTTTGTCACCTTTCAGATTTTCGTTAAAATTTTGGAATTTTAAGTATACAAGAAATTTTTTATTGAAATTACGAATCACCGGTCAATATTAATGATGAAAATTTTATCTATTTATTTACATATACGGTATGTATATGTGTTCATTTATAGAGGGTGATTATTTTTTTTAGTATAATGAGAGGAATATTGTGGAATATTGGGGCGAACTGAATTACATTTGATGTTTAAGTTTGAAATTTACAAAAGTACAAGTGTATTTGCTTATTAATTAACCCCGAATATATTAGAATTAGTTCATTTGTTTTAATAATATTATTGCCAACATGTTTTGGGAAAACTTATAAAAAGTTTAAAATTTTCTAAAATATTAAAAACTTGAGTTTCAAATTTAATTTGCAAACATTAATTTTGATTTTTAGAGCTCAATTTTCTTAAGATTCTGTAATATACGTATATTTTTCTAGAATTTAATCGATTAGTTTTGCCTAATTCTGAAATTATAGATAAAAATGATTAATTCTGAATTAAATTTTCTTGAATAATATTTTTGGTATTTCGAGCAAGTTTTTATTTAAAATCATATAGAATTTTGCAATGAGTTCTATTGAGGTCTTTTAATACAAAAATGCTGACCTTTTCCTTTTTTTTGAGATTTACTACATATACGCACCATTCTATAGGCTTGTGAAAATTCATATAGCCATTGCGATAAAATAAATGTAGGAATAATATACTTCCTAATATTAGGAAGAAAAATATGTAAGAGTTATTTTGTATCTGTTGACAAAAATGCTTTTATTTTTCAATATTTGAAATTTTTTTGCAAACCACTTTGCTTTAAAGAATTATCAAAATTTTCAATATGTTTTTAGTTTCATTTTGACAGGTTTTCTTTAACTCCCATCACCGATTTTATAAACGCAGACAATTTCGAAAATAAAATTTGAAGATTATCCCTATTACCATCAAATTATAACTATATATTTATATAAAATTTACTAACAAATCTTTCAAGAACATCATCCTTTTGCATAACTAAAAAAAATTCCACCATTTTTGAATCTCGATACAGTTTTTTTCTTTTGAAAATGTTTCATACACTGTTTTTATTTACGTAAAATTTAAAATTACAATTTTTTATTTATGTAAGTGTACAATTTTGTATTTATGTACAAAAGTATAGAAAAAAATCACTTATACTTAATTAATTTATTAAAATTTTTTAAAATATTAATTAATATTAATTAATATTTAAAGTTATTTTTTAAAAATTTGAAAAACAATTTTAATCATTTTTTGTCTACAACTTAACATTTACTGGCACTTGATTTTCAATATCAAAAACTTTTAAATAAAAACAAAAATAATCAAATTATATATATTTAAATAT